GGGGGGGGAATTACCTGGGAGAGGATTGTAGTAACCGAGGACTTCCAAGTGTTTGCCATCTCGGGGAGATCTACTATCCGCCGCCATTACTCTGTAAGAAGGTTTGTTTTTGCATCCAAACCTCGATAACCGTAATCTTACCACCATTTTTCTCTTCTTCGCTCCAAATCTTTGCTCTCTCGTGGCGGCAATAGCAGAGTTCCGACGGCTGAGCTTTTTGTAATCTTAACGGAGAATTGTAAATTTTGACAATTTTGTCCTCCTTTTCTTTTCTTTTTTTTCCCTTCTTTTTCTCTCTAATTTATCTTTCTCTTGGGTAGGTGGATGACTACACTCATCAAACAGACGGGTCGGATCGAATATGAGCGGGTCGAAAATGAATGTAAAAAATAGATAAGTTATTCGATCCGACTCATATTTAATAGATGTTCATATTATTCATGGCTTCTTGAATATATTTATTTTGGGAGACTTTCTAGTCTCTAAAGTTGAGGATCCTCAATTTGAGTCTTTACAAATATAAAAGTTAATTCATTAGTTATTTATTTGTTATCCATTTTCTAAGTAGATAATATGGTTTTTATCTATATTCAATTTATGGTTAAAAAGTTTATTATTTAATTTATTTTTTAACATATAAATTTTAATGTATAATATAAATGGATAACTAGTTTCTTTAATCATTTTACCACCTTTGTCGACGCCACTAGGGTAAGAGTTTCTCTATTCTTTTTCTTCTGGCTTCAATTTTTTATTGGCGGGCCATAATCTGTTTCTTTTTAAAAGGTCAAAAAACATCGGAGGGTCATTCTTTGATTTAAATAGTAAAAGCGCATTATATATTATGTGAATTTAAGATACATTATGAATTTAAAATCTAACAAATAAAATCATAATAGTTAAGTAGAAGAAGATAAATGTTTAACCAAAAAATGTAAAACCCTTTTGTCGAACTAATTATTAATAATAAAGAAGGTAAATCTTAGCCAAACATAATTAATTCTAGATCCAAGCATATAAAGTACGAAATAAAAGAAGAATAAGACCGCGTAAGATTTCTTAATGTAATAATCGTACATCAAACATGAGATATGAGCTTACATCTAGGGCGGATATGCATCATAATCATGGGAGCAGGGAAGGGGGAGAGAGGTAAATGTTGATAAACAAGAGATTTCTCTCGTTTTTTCTATTGTCGTAGCTATCTTCTGAACGCCCCCCCCCCCC